GCAGTGAAGTACGGGGAATGTTTAATACTCTTTCTTCCAAATGTAAGAAGGAAGGTGTATCTTTCGAAAAATTATTTTAAGGTTTACCCTGGGAGAAACTTTACAAAACATTTAGAAAATGTATACTTGGGGTGCTCAAAAGACAATTAATGTTGCAGTGTTGTCTGAACCTGGTAGATTTCCAATTTATTTTAATATGATTAACGGTATGATAGTGTACAGGTATAGATAAGAGAATTTAGGAAGTAATTTTCCTCTATTAAAAGATGCATATGAACAATCTAAAACACTACACCAGATGAATAAAACATCATGGTATAGTATAATAAAAGTTTTATTGAATTTACTTGGATTTGATTGTACAAATACTAGACTTTTTATGAGTCTTTTTACAAATTTAAAAAATATATCCAAACCAAGCTATCCACTTTGTTCATTAGCTACTGGAAAAAAACAGTTAGATATATGTTCTGACGGTAAACTGAAAACATATCCATATATAAATCAAATTTTTAACTTAGAAGAAGTTTTACAAGGTTACGTATTTCTTCAGGTAGGTTACTAATAGAACTGGATAGATATCATGGTATTCCCTTACACAGCAGAATATATGTAATAAATGGTCTTTCGGTACTGTTGAAGATGATGCTCATATTTTTTTTTTCGATTGCACAAAGTTAAAGGATGAAATAGGTGATATGTTGTCTAGCATTACAAAAGTTTATACTTATTTTAATAATTTGAACATATAAAACAAAATCATACGTTTTTTTGTCTCGCCTTGACGGAGTCAAAAAGCGAGACTTAGGTATGCTGTTTCCGGCGGTGGCGGCGGCGGCGGCGACAATGTTTCAGTTTGTGATTAGGTCTAGTTTATGGTGAACCACTAGTGATAGGTCAATGATATTTAGTATGCAGTTGTATAAGCATCGGCACATCTCATTACCATGGTGATAACTTGGACCCACCCCCTCAGTCATGGTCTATTGACATTGAAACTTTGCTTAGTTTACATGTATTAGTTTGTGATAAGGTCATTTAATGGGGAAACACTAGTGGTAGGTCAATGATATTTGGTATGAAAGTGTATAAGCATTGTCATATCTCATTTCCATGTAAATTATTTGGCTCGTTCCCCTCAGTCATGGTCTATTGACTTTGAAACTTTTGCTTAGTTTACATGTATTAGTTTGTGATTAGGTCAGTTCAAGGGGAACCATTAGTGATAGGCCAATGTTAATTGGTATGCTGTTGTATAAGCATTGGCATATCTCATTTTAATGGAGATTATTTGGCCCCGCCCTCTCAGTCATGGTCTATTGACTTTGAAACTTTTGCTTAGTTTTCATGTATTAGTTTGTGATTAGGTCAGTTAATGGGAAACCACTAGTGGTAGGTCAATGATATTTGGTATGCAAGTGTATAAGCATTGGCATATCTCATTTCAATGTAGATTATTTGGCTCTGCCCTCTCAGTCATGGTCTATAGACTTTGAAAATTTTGCTTAGTTTACATGTATTAATTTTTGATTAGGTCAGTTCAAGGGGAACCATTAGTGATAGGCCAATGTTAATTGGTATGCAGTTGTATAAGCATTAGCACATCTCATTTTGGCCTCGCCCCCTCAGTCATGGTCTATTGACTTTGAAACTTTTGCTTAGTTTACATGTTTTAGCTTGTGATTAGATCAGTTAAAGATGAACCGCTCATGTTAAGTCAATGATATTTGGTATGCAAATTTATTGGCATTTGCAAGTCTCTTTTCCATTGAGATTATATAGCCCCAACCCCTCATCATGGTTCATTAACTTTGAAACTTTTACATAGTTTACAAGTTAATGTTTGTGTTTAGGTTTGTTTAAAGGAAATGACTTATGATAAGTCAATGGTATTTGGCATGCAGTTGCATTGCACATCTCATTTCCATGGAGATTGTTTAGCCATGTACCTTCAGTCATGGTTCATTGACTTTGAATATTTGCATAACATACATGTTAAAGTATTGCTATTTTAATTTCAACATTTGCATTATCAAAATTACAATAAGGCGAGACATATCTCTGTTTTAACAGTTTTTTTGTGTAGAAAATGTTGATTTAGTTAAAATAATATGCAATTTTATATACAAACATCTTCCTTAAGATCATTCATTATATACATACATATTTTAAATGTTGGCTGTATTTACAAATAGATTTAAAATTCAAACACATACAATACCTTTAAAAAGGAAATGGAAGATATGTATTGATTAATACATTCTTTTAATTTTTTATCTATAAATTGATTCAATAAATGAAAATATTCTCATATTCTAATGGCATCGTCCCCTGGTGTCAACTGCATTCAAGTTACCAATACAGCTACCTTTTATGCTTTTGATACAGGCCAGATAAAGACATTTCCACATATATACTAAGCATGCCAGTCATTCTTTAAGGTATTATCCTCTGATGTCAGCTGCATTTGGGATACCACACTGCTAATCGTACTTGCTGCTGATACGGGGAGGACTGAAACTTTTGGGCTAGACAACTTTATATATATCTTTTATATAGCTATGTATTATTTTCTTTTGCCACACTTGCATTGTGTATAATGAAAGCTTAAGCTGCTTAAATATTTACTTAAGAAAGTTATATTTCACTTTATTTTATTGAATTCTCAGATTATTATGTTATTTTCATGTAAAATGTTTTTGCCCTTAATTGGATTAAAATCTTCTTCTTCTTTCCACATATATATTTAGCATGCTATTCAGTCTTTAAGGTATCATCCCCTGGTGGGATACCACACTGCTAATCGTACTTGCTGCTGACACCGGAAAACCTGAACTTTTTGGGCTAGACACATAAGGCTATGCAAGATGCATGCATGGTTGAAAGGGGGAGGGGTTAGTTAGCATACATGTGATTCTTCCGGCGGGAGTCAAAATCTCCCGCTTTTCAGACCCTCTTCCGTCCCTCCCGTTAAAATTTGAAATCTTCCGCTTTTTGAAAATGTCAACCTCGTAAAATTTTCATTAGACATTTTTGTTTACAAAATTGATACGGACAGAGAAAAAGTCCGAGAATCTCGAAATTGATATGGGAAAAGTCCGAGAAAAACGGCAGTTTCCTGTAATGGACTTTGTGTCAAAAGTTAAAATAGGTAAACTTAGCCTGAGGTGTTTAGGATTAAACTGTATATACAACAATAAATAAAAGATAATAGGCAATTACCTAGTGATCAACTAGCAAGTTTAAGACACAAGCCAGGTTGATTAAAAGTGAAATACTGACAAAGGATTAAATTGTACAAGTTGTATAAACAACGATTTAATTTGATGCTGTTGAAAACGTGGAACATTTACTAAAACTCAAAGACAAATGAAACCAACTCAAATATGATATTTATGGCTTGTTTTCTATCCAAGCCAATGGAATACCTATATAAGTACAGTTGTCTTGGACTATTCTAAAATTTTAGAATTTGACAAAATGCAAACTGTATTTTTATATCACCAAATACCCCAGCAGCAAGTAAAAGAAGGCCAAGTATGTAGCCAAATTCAACTCTGCCTGGAGATCTGATTTCAAATGATGCAGATCCAGTACCAAGGGTCAAGACCATGCTTACTACACTTCATGCAAAGCTGACTGTGGTGGCCCTAATGATTTGACCAAACTTATGGGGACAGCTACCCACCAGCAAGCCAACAACTCTATCAATTTAACACCACTGTTCAGTAGTGGTACCAAAGTTGACAATGTAGCTAAATCAGAGGTACTTTCTGCCAACTCTATATGATGGCTGATCACTTTATCTTGAATTATATATAATGAATAAATATTTGAAAACCCCTTATCTTCTATTTTTATCAAGTAAAAATGGATATGGAGTTGTTGAAAGGTATGGAATTATTGTTCTTTTAACAAACAAAAAAAGAAGATATGCAGTTTAAACACACAAAAAACCATTGCGTACGTCGATAAAAAATCTCCAGTTATGAAGCCCAAACTCCAGCTGAAAATTTCCAAATCTCCAGTTGTGGCTTGACAACTCTGTCACATGTCTGAGTTAGTAAGTTCATAATTCATACTGAAATATCAGTGAAAGTAACTATGCGCGCATGGCTAACCCTCCTTAGTTTGGTTAGTTTTCATCATACATTTACATTTTTTATCAATTTTCCAGAATTAAAAATTATTTCAGATTCAAATAGTCCCTTGTTTATATTAAAAGACTGGAATGACCAGTGAAGTCTTTGTTCAAATATATGTAAAAACCATGACTACATTAGGACTGAATACTGTTGAGATTATATTTTTTTATGTAAATGAAAAAAATACAACAAAAACAAGCTTGGACATGCGAACCATTATAATAGTCATATAAACATTGTGCAAAATGCAATAAATTCCAAAATTTTCTATATTTTTTCATTTAATTAAAAATCGTTCTCCGTTTGTCTCAATTCTCTTGTACACTATACTCTCAGTCAGGGTAGGGGCTGTTACATATCTGATGTGTCAAGGTTTACTATTGTCTCTAACCTCATCAATCTTAAACATGTCAATATCTCGAGTATGTCTTTAGTGATTTTAAGCATGCCTTGAGTGATTTTTTTCCAAATTTTTCCAAATTGTTAAGAATGGTGGTCAGAGGCTCTATTTACAATTTGACAATCTTCACTTTAGTCTTTTCGAAGTAATGGGAATTAAATCTTCAAAACAATAAGCAATTATTCACATGTCGCACATTAACTCAAGTATGCATTATGCAATTTACCTCGGACTATACCATTTATTAAAAGTGTGTAAATGTTCCGGACCATATGTGTATTTGGACTATACGCGTATGGAAATAACCATATGCGTATACTCATATGGATATTAACGAGCCGGACCATATGAGTATTTAGAAGATATAGGTATTTTATGAATAATTTCTAATTACCTTATATTATACAAAATCGGTTCCCAGTATGAACTGAAATTGATTACAATTACTTCTATAGGCAAACAAACTGAGAACCAAAACAATACACAAGACATTGAATCCTGAATGGAATGAAACACTGACATATTACGGTATTACTTCAGATGACATGGTCAAAAAGACACTTCGGTAAGCATTGTTGTTATAGATGCCGGATAAAGCATAAACCTATAATGATACTTCTTGTCCATTTAGTGAAGATATTAGATAATTGTCTGTACAGATTATGTCATAGAAATAGGGTTCTATTAGATTTATTATGTATTGTTTAAAATTGGGTGAATAAGAATTTTTTATGTCATGTCGGCTTCATGAATGTAATTAAATACATCTAAAATTTCTCCTCTCCTTCATAGCTTTAGATTTATGATAAAATTGAGAATGGAAATGGGGAATGTGTCAAAGAGACAACAACCCGACCATAGAGCAGACAACAGCCGAAGGCCACCAATGGGTCTTCAATGCAGCGAGAAACTCCCGCACCCGGAGGCGTCCTTCAGCTGGCCCCCAAACAAATATGCATACTATGTTTTTTTAATAGAAACTGATATATGATATCATATTAAAAGAAAATATGGAGTAGTTGCACACGATATAATATCTATAGACTGCGAGGAACAGACACAGTTCATCAAACAAATAATTTTTTGAAAAGAAAAATCAGATTAACTTTGTATTTTCTCCGAGTCACAATTTAAAAAAAAATCCAAAGGCTTCAAATCACTTTGTATCTAAATAAAGTTATAATTTGCTATATATTGAAACCTGTGGAAAAATTATGATCACACCATTATGTGTTCAGACCTTTATTTTCTTTCATTATAGTATATGGAAAATTTGTAGATAAAACAAATGTTATTAATAGAAATTGCTTGTATTTTGAAGCAAACTGTTAACATGTAAGCTATAATAAAAAAAAGTTAAAAATTTGAGTCTCAGATGCCTTTGGTATGATTTAAGTCACCTTTTACTTTAACAAAATTCATTGTTGAAGCAAGTCTTATTGTGGTTAAAATTATCAGAGATTTTTTTTCAATTCACTGTCATCGTTGATATGAACTTGTATATTTTGTCATTTAAGGTTAGCCGTTTTAGATGAAGACGCATTTGGTTACGACTTCATTGGAGAGACCAGAATACCACTAAAGAGATTAAAGGCTTTACAAACTAAGCATTTTAATGTGTATCTTGAAAAGCAACTACCAGTATGTATTATGTCCAAAAATTTAGAATTGCTGTCTTGACATCCGGTTTAAAGATTTTTTATCTGCAATTGAATTAAAAAAATTGAACTCAATTATTTTTAAGAAGGAAACCCGGGGCCTGGTTTTCAAAAGTATCTTTTGACTAAGACATGTCTTATTTACGATTGTCTAGGACATGTCATAGTCGTAAGATATGTTTTCGAAAGTGTCCCAACTTATGATATGTCAAAAATTTTATCGTAAACTTAAGACACATTGCGACATGACTTATGATGGTCTTATGATCATCATAAAAGTTACGACATCACTTCCATTGAATCAGTGTCATTTACTGCATTTGTCTTTGCACATGCAGCCTCCCATGCTCTCATTTTGGAACTGTGTGTTGTGTTGCTCAGTCTGCATGCTAAATAGTAAATATTTATTCTTCTCCACTTTGTCAATTAAAATTTGAATCTCCTGCGACAAAAAATTAGACTCCTTTTCTTACTTATGAAAATCTTAAAAGTATTCACAATTAAATAACACTTCATGTTTAATAATACATGAACACGAAGTTCTAGAATTTTATTGTATATATAATTATAATTTTGGTTGACCTCTATTATTTGAAAGGTGATATTTTCAAAAGTATGTCCAGTTCTTAAGAGATGTCTCGTGATGGGTAGTTTCTTCCTTTGGTAAAAAATGACCGGTGTTTATTATGACTGATGAAGCTAATTTGTTTAGCGAAATATTGCGTGAATATATAAAATATAACAACTATTTTTATAACACTCATTAGCGTGTTAAAGTTACATTCTTAGGCATTTATATAATTTAATTCAGTAACTGCATCAGTTTATTTTCAAACTGATCCACGCCTAGATTGAATGTTGATTGTTGCTATTTTTAGACATTATATATAATATACTTTTTCACTTTTTTGGTCTTTTGGAAAATGTTGTTTGTGCTGTATTTAGACCCCTCTACAAAGAAATTTGTTTTGCATGCACACGTATAAAAATTGCGGTTTTTATCCAACGCAATCATAGGTTTGAACGTTGTTTTCAATTTAGACTTGTATATATATATATATATATATATATATATATATATATATATATAATATATACGTCCAAACAAGTGACAACAGTGAAGGTGATACATGGCTGAAAACACATATTATATTCATAATTACTCTAAATATCAGCACAACAATGTTAAATCTGCAAATTTGCGGAAGCAAATTTTTGTTCTTCCCTCGCGGGATTCGAACTAATGCTGTTGGGATATCGTGACAACACCGCCTGCACTGTGTCCAGCGCTCTAGACCACTCGGCCACCTAGACTGAACTACAAATTCAGCTTTCGGCGGCCTAGTGTTACCTAATCTAGAGTTGTAACACAGTGCATGATATATTAGGCATGAAGATGGAATTGATTGCAGATTAACCAAATTATCTGTCGTAAGGGATCGTAAGATGCAGTCACAGAAATAATTATTGGACATGAGTTCGAATCCCGGCGAGGGAAGAACAAAAATTTGTTTCCGCAAGTTTGCAGATTTAACATTGTTGTGCTGATATTTAGAGTAGTTATTTATTATATATATATATATATATATATATAACCAGTCTAAAAGGGTACAACATCACCAAAAACTGACATTAAACGAACAAATGTAACTATAAATATTTCGGATAACAGAAATATTTATAGTTACATTTGTTCGTTTATTGTCAGTTTTTGGTGATGTTGTACCCTTTTAGACTGGTTATATATTATATTTTGTAGTGTACTGTATCATATTTATATGATCCATCGCCCCGTAAGATTTATCGTTGGCTATTATTCAGTCATTTTATATATATATATATATATGTATATATATATATAATTCGTCTCAAATTTAGCCCAACAATGTTAGATCTTCAAATTTGCACAGTGTCCAGTGCAGGCGGTGTTGCCATAACGTCACAGAAGCAAGGGTTCGAATCCCGCTGAGGGAAGAACAAAAATTTGCTAACGCAAATTTGAAGATCTAACATTGTTAGGCAAAATTTGTGACGAGTTATATATATATTATGGTGTTTGCCCTGTATAACCACGTGTTATCCGATGGAGAATGTCTGTCATAAAGTTGTCAGATGTTTAGACGTGTATAATAAAATTAAAATTTGATGTGGCGGCATGGTAATTATCATTATCATCCTTTACGACACACAAAATAGCTGATCTGAAAAGTACACCATCTAATTGCCACTATACATCATGTACTGTGTTACAACCCTAGATAAAGCCGACGAGGAAAGGCATTAAATCGACCACCGAAAGCTATATTTTAATGTAGCTGGACACGGTGCAGGCGGTGTTGCCACGAAGCAAGGGTTCGAATCCCGCTGAGAGAAGAACAAAAATTTGCTAACGCAAATTTGAACATCTAACATTGTTGGGCTAAATTTGAGACGAATTATATATATATATATATATATATATGTCTGGCTATGTGTAGTGACAACTGCAAATTATACCTTGTCCATCGGATTTCTTATTATTAAGAAATACAAGGCGTTAGAATATTTATAAAGTGCCTAGAAAATCAATGTTAGGTTGATTTTCTAGGCACTTTATATATATTATATATATAAATACAGCACAAACAACATTTTCCAAAAGACCAAAAAAGTGAAAAAGTATATTTTAACAAAACGCATTTGACTAGCAGCTCGAAAAACGGATGCTCTTAAACCCTGCTGACTGCCATGGCGATTGCCAAGTAAACGGATCACCAGATGTAACAAAATGGATCTTAATTATTAATTTAATACCAAACAGAAAACAATAAACTTGCGGAAAAGATGGTATACCGCAAACATGAGGTGCAAAATTTGGTACACCATATCCGGATTTCGACAATTAATGTCTCCTCAGTGATGTTATGAATCGAAACGGTATTTGGAAGGCCATATTATTTACTTCAATTTAGGATTGACTCTTGAATTTTGAAGAGTCGAAATAGGATGAACGGATTATATAAACCCGAAGGCAAATATAATACAAGCCCAAACGAAAAAATATAAACAAGTCTAAATTGAAAACAACGTTCAAACCTATGATTGCGTTGGATAAAAACCGCAATTTTTATACGTGTGCATACAAAACAAATTTCTTCGTAGAAATTCAAGAGTCTATCCTAAATTGAGGTAAATTATATGGCCTTCCAAATACCGTTTCGATTCCTAACATCAGTGAAGAGACATTAATTGTCGAAATCCGGATATGGTGTACCAAATTTTGTGTACCAATGTCTCGGACAAGTTCAAAAATCAGTGCCGATCAATTTTTTTAAGATTTATGCCCCTTGAAAATATTAATTATATTAGAAATTGCATTGCATTTTCACTCAAGCCTTCATTTCTCTTAAGATATTTATAAAAAGTTTTAAAGAAAGAAAAAAAAAGTTTTTATTTTAGTTATTGCCCTTGGACCATGGACAGATTAAATATGTGCAACGCGGGGGAAATTGGAACTCTGTTCCTTAATTATAGTTATTTCTATCATTTTTTTATAATTTATTTTTTTTAAGAAAATATGTTCACTTATGACAGTCAGAAGAGTAATATATGTACGACTATCTTAGGACAGCTTTGAGTTTACATTTTATGACATATCATATGATAGTCATAAGCTGGTCATAAAATTTGTCCTGAGGTATATCTTTTGACATATCATATGTATGACTATCTTAGGACAGCATCATATGTTTACGATCTTAGATGTCCAATGACATGTCCCCATAATTGTAATTTGACGTTCGCGTCAGGATAATGCTAAACTGTACACAACTTTTCTTGCATATTTCACATAAAATTGATTTCATGAAATGTTCTGATCTTTATAAAATAAAGTTCTTGTATAATAATCATCTAAGTAAATCTGCATTGTGTAAATAATTTAGAAAAAGAAACATACAGTGAAAATGTAAATGCGATTAAAAGTGAGCTCATCTTATTTATTTTCCCCCTTAGCCAGATTATAAACGGTTCAAAATCAAGTTATACACCCTGGCCTTAATTCCTAGCGTTGCTATGAAAAGAATCGAAACTATATAAACGAATCAAATTTATTCAGCCAATTTACAGAGTCGGCATGTTGTTTCCGTACTTGTATTCTAAGCTGAATGTAATAGTACGAAAAAAGTAAAATAACAAAAATAACGAACTCCAAGGAAATTCAAATCGGAAAGTCCTTTATAAAATGGCAAAATCAAAAGCTCAAACACATCAAACGAATGGAAAACAAGTGTCATATTCCTGACTTGGTACAGGCATTTCCTTATGTAGTAAATGGTACATATATAAATGCCTGTGCTCTTTCCACTAAAATACGACAAAAATTAATCGTAAGTTATACTGAAATGCTCATGACTTACGAGTATTTTTTCTCGTAGGACTTTTTATGAAATCAGTCCCTGGTGTTTACTGTGAGTAGAAAAATGTCTAGTCATCTACCTAGCATCATGTGTATGAAAAAGAAGGTAATTGCTTCTAGAATTAATGTGTGGCAGAAAAGAGTTTGTTGTCTCGAATCTCCAACAGAGAGAGAGAGAGAGAGAGAGTGAGAGAGAGAGAGAGAGAGAGAGAGCAGTGTATTAATTTACAGACACTACCAAGTACATTTTAACCTATCGGAAAAAGTAACCATGCACTCTATCCCACATTTTCCAAAATTTCTTTCTTTCTTTCTTTCCATATTTTTTTAGAGCGTATATTTTGCGAGAAGTTCAAAATTCTTTGCATGTATCACCAATTTATAGAAAAAATTAGGAAGAATATCTAATACTAATAAATATACTACATTGAACACACTGTATATATGTTGAATACATCATATTTTCCTCTTTTTTACCACTAAATCAACCACAAAATGTCTGCTATGTTGATCGGTTGTTTTCTCTAAGTACCCCGGCTTCCTCTACCAATAAAAACGGATTGCCACGAAATAGCCAATAGTGTTGA